GGCCACCTCACGCGCAGTCCCCTATCCCGTCAAAGGCCTGTTTTACTCCAGGTTTACAAGTCAATGCCGCAGCAGGAGGCAGCACCCTGCAACCTTGGCTGACCTCACCTTTTTTTTAAAAAAAAAAAACTAACCAGGATCAGGCCTGGTTAGTCCTTGGATGGGAGATCATTAGTAAATCCCAGGGCTGGAAGGGAGACTGGGGAGTTGAAAAAAGGTTTCTGAAAAGGGCAACGTCATGCCACTGTTTTGTCAAGAAAAATAAATCAAGGAGTTCGTGCCACTGCCGGGAGCCAAACCTGCCTTCAGGAGGCTCTTCTGCGCTTGTTCTGTTTTTACCAGATGCTGTCTGGGATCAAGCCGTTATCATGTGGCTTGTTGGCTTCAGAACCCAGAAGCTGCTGTAGTTTATAGCCAACCCATTAACAACAAACCATGGCTGAGCACAGTGTGTGAACGTAGCCAATGCCCACAGTCATGTCTGGCCAGGCCGGGTAGTTCCAGTTGCACAACCACAGTGCAGCGGGCCTTGGTGTATGAAGGCAGAGGAACCATTGCTCATGGCTAGCCGTGGAACAGGAGTTGCACGGTGGGCGCAGGCAGGGCAGATAAAGATTCCAAGTCTGCCTGCCGGAGAAGGGAACCTCAGTTAGATCCCCACAGGAACGGTGAGGATGACGGGGAGCCCACCTGCTTCCTTGCCCAAAGAACGTCAGCTGCCATCAAGCCCTGCCCTCCTGTGTAATGCCTCTTCCTGCCAGCGTCCGCCAGCCTTGACTTCAGCTGAAAGCTAAGGACTTTCAACCGAGGATCAGCCACCCCAACTGCAAGGGGCACCAGGATTTCTCCAGGAGTGTTGCTGCCGTGGACGTCCCTCTAGACTGTTGAAGCAGCTGGCTGATTATCCAGCCCACGACGGCCTCGTTCCCAGTGGGGTCGGGGGCCGGAGGTCAAGCAGAGCTAAAGCATTACCACTCAGGGATGAAAAGCCCCCCCACACACATGCCCATCAGGCCCAGGGGGAAGGGGCATTGCTTTCAGCCCTAGAAGCAGGGGCTTTTAAGCCCACTCAAGTCCCCCTGCAACCAGCCAACAGACCCTTGCAGAGCTCCTACTTCCGAGCAGGACTGGGGAGGCTGCTGCTTGTTTCTTAAAGCATCAGGTTCCTGCCTATAGGCCGACCGAAACTCATTTCACCCTCCTAACCCAGTGGCGCTGGGACTGCGGGGGGCTCAGCTCTTTCTTCGAGTCGGGGGTGGCTTCTCGTGTCTGTCCACAACAAGGCCCAGAGTCCCTCTCTGTCTTTGGAGGCGAGAATTCCCAGGTCAGCCCTGGTCTTCCCAGGACCATGTGGATCCCCAGGGCTCTGATCCTCCTCTGAATGGTCTCTGGGAAGGGTGATGTTGGGCCTGGAACACTCAGGGGGACCCTGAGCCAGGCACGTGCCAAGTCCTGGACCAAATGACTGATCTTGGATGGCACTCAGACCACCAAAAGGCTGGCAAAGCCCTTTTTCTGCTGGGGGGTGTGTGTCTGAGAAGCTGCTCCCTGCTCAAGAGTGGCCACTGCCTGGACCTGGTGAAGTGCAGGCCCTCCTCAACCCAGGGGAGAATCTGGCCGGGAAGAATGGGGGGCTGGCAAAGGCCAGTTGAAACTCCCAGGACACTTTTCTTCGGCAGAATTAAGCTGCTGATTCAGTGCTTTCCGGCTAGTGCATTTATAATGCATTCTAATCAGCTGGATTTTTTCTTTTTTCACATCAAGTCCTGGGTGGCAAGGAATAGGGCCCAATCCTCCACCGAGGGCTGGAGGGGGCTGAGGCATGAGAGGCTCTTTCACCCTTCCTGCTCCCCCTACATTTTCTGCCCCTTCTTCTCCAGATGAACGTTTTGCAGGCTGCTTTCCAACAACAGGACCTGCCCAGCTGTGACACCATGCTGAAAGGGCCTGTTCCCATTGTGCCTCAGTGGAAGGAGCTCCAGTACCAACTCAGAGAGAGGCTGAAACTGCAAAAGGTGAGGGATGTTGAACCAAGTTAAGGTTTCCTTCTTGGCACAGAGCAGGAAGGTGCTGTGTGCAGGACGGGGAACGAGAAAATGCGGGGGGAGGCAGGGTAACTATCAACCCCTAGCAGCTGCTCACAGCCAAGAAGGCCAGATTCTGACAGTCTTCTTAATCGGATCTCTTGGGAAGAGAGAGGAGAACTGGTTACAGGATCCGGGAAAGCGGATAGCACCCCATTTGAGTTTGCTGCAGTGGGGATTCTTTGATCCGCTTGCTGACCACCTTTTGGGGCGGTGGGGAGGCTGCACCTTGCTCCTCTGATGTGGAAGGAAGGAGCGTGCAGGTGTTCCAGCCGCCAGCCCGGCAGCATCTTGCAGGCCGCCACCCTCCTCCTCAGGCACCCAGCCCTCCTCCCCGGCTTCTGCCTTTCAGCCAGCACCGGCCACCGACCTCCCCAGCCCGTGCGCGGTTGCCGACTGCCTGCGGAGCGTCCTCCCTGTCTTCTCCCTCTGTGCACAGGGCTTGCCGGAAGGAACCGAAGGCACCCCCTTCCTCCTGAGCGACAGGCCCAGCATTGTTTTCCGGGACAGCTGCTTCCCCAGCCACATGCCGATCCTCTGCCCTTACACGACCGAGGGGGGGAACTTCTTTGCGTCATTCACCTGGAAGAGGGCCAGAGGGAGCAAGGTGAGGGGGGAGCGCGCCAGCTGGCCTCTGGGACAGCCCCCCTCCCCCAGCCCGAAGGGAGGCCCTCTGCTTCCTCCCCTCCAAGAGCGTTCGGAGATTCAGGGTGCTGGGTCAGACGAAGCGTCAGAGGTTGCCCGCGGGCCACGGCAAGGAGCCTCTCCTCTGGGGCACTCTGGGTCCCTGCTTGCTCAGACAAGGCCCTTCCTTGCAGCCGCGAGAAATCTCAGCCACAGCGGAGATGTGCACCAGGGCCTAGTTCCTCGCCAGTTGCGCCTGGCCTGTGCTTAAAGAGGGGTTGTGCCTGGCCCCTCCATGGCCACCCTGGCTCTTATGCCGAGGGGCTCTCTGGGCCTGTTTTCTCCAAGCTGGCTCGGGTGGCCCTGAGCCATTGGGCCTTCCCCCTCCCCAGAGAAAGCCAGCCCTCCATGCCTCCCCCCCCCGGTGATCCAGTAAATCAGTCCCTTCTCCTCGTGCCCAAGACACTCAGACCATCGCCACACCCTCTTTCATGCCCTTGCAGTCTGATCTCCCAGGTCCCTCTAGGAAAAATGACCTGGCAGCCCACCTCTGGACAAGGAGCTGTTCCCCCAGCCTCTCCCTGCGGGCCCACTCCAGGGAGGGTTGAGGACAGGCCTTAGCAGTCTGTCCACACAGCATCTCCCTTGGCTGTCTCACCAGCACAGCTTGTGGAATCCAAGCTGCTCTGGGTTGCACAGGGGTGGACAGGGCAGGTGGGGCGTAAACCTTTAAACAAAGAAATCTAGCTCCAAACCTAACTGCTCCCTAAATGGCCACTTTTGCTGATCCAAATTGGCTGACCCTTGTCTGCATGATCCTCGCACTTTCTTTTACCCGGCAGGTGCGTGTCTGGAGTTACAACATGGAGGATGAGACTTCAGTGACAGAGAAAGAATACCCCTTAGATGAGAACCCGGTGGTCCTCACCATTATCCATGTCCCCCATGTGCACCTCTTTGTGGCCTACTGTGATGATATTCACTTTCGCTTCTTTGGCGACCACACTCAGGACTTCAAGCTCCTCTCCAAGATGACTTCCCCCTATTCAGTCACCAGCCTGTGTTACAGCCCTGAGACACGTGAACTGGTTTCTGGTGCCATTGGTGTGGTGGTGTTTTGGACCTTTTTGATGCTGGAGGTTCCCTATATGAGTGTTACGCAGGAAGTGTATGTTGCAACTGGTGAGTTTGTGCACTTTCTCAGGGTGGAGCAGGAGCGGAGAATGCTGGTGGCCCTGTGTGAGAGCATTATTCGTGTGTATAACTACCAAACCAAAGCCCAGATCCGCACCTTCCAGGTGAGCCAAGGCGTGTCCCTCACTTGCTGTGCTGCCAATTGGCCCCAGAGTTTCCTCTATACAGGAGACTTGGCTGGTGATGTCAAGGTATGGAACTTTGATGCCGGGACCCATGTCAACCAATTCAAGGCCCACCTGAGTGCCATTAGCAGTATAATCATCCGGACTTCAGTGCACACCCTCATGACTGCATCCCTGGATGGAATGCTGAAGGAGTGGAACCTGACTACCTGTGAGCTTCTCCGGCGGGTGGACATTGGAGAGGAAGTCTTTCAGATGCAGTTCCTCAATGAGCAGACTTTCTTCCTCCGTACCCAGTATACATTCTCCATCCGTACAGTCAATAATTTCTATCAGCTTTTCAACAGAAGCAAATCAATCCTCAAGAAGTTGGTGCGGGTACAGTGTGAACCAGACAAAGCCCGCATCCTGGCCACCACTGAAGATGGAGTCATCCGATTCTTATCCCCTGTTACAGGAGAAATGCTGTTTGTTACCTGGCCCTTCCAGCTGCTAGAAAAGGCACTCGACTATGTTTATGACCCAGATCGGGAGGAACTACTGGTGACAATGGGCACAAGCGACATCTATGTGTTGGATACCACCAAGAACCCTTGCCCAGCCAAGTACATCTTGCGCACCACAGAGAGTGTGGATGACAAGGTTCTGTGTTTGGCCTACAGCCGTCTGGAGCTGGGTGGCCGTACCACCAGCTTCATCTTCAGCGGGTTCAAGAGTGGTAAGGTGCGCTCTGTCACCCAGCAGCTGTATCGTATGGGAGGTCGCAAACTCCACGATGGCAATGTGGTGGCCCTCACCAGCCTGTCAGACTCTGGGAACCTGTCTTATAATTCAAGGGAATCTTCCTACCTCTGCTCCTATGGACTTGATGAATATATAATCCTCTCAGAAGTGTTCTTAAAGAAGAACAGCCTCCTGGAGGTGGTCCCTTTGGTTGTCATTCCCAGCACCAACTGCCGGATCAACATCCTCTTGCTCATCCCTGGCTACATCTGTGTCTTGACAGAGCAGAACCGAGTCCGGCTATGGCGCCAGGCAGCCCTGGTTCCTGGCCAGAAGAACCCCTTCTGGAAGGAGACTGTGGCCATGCATTCGAGCACCATCACTTCATTTGACTACTGCCATACGCTTAGCATATTGGTGACCGGTGGCTCTGATGGCTCTGTGCGCATTTGGGACATCCTGGGAAAAATGTTGGTGGAGTTTGACACCACCCTCAAATTCAACCGAGTCTGCTTTGCCAACCAACGGGGGGACTTGGTGGTTGGCTGCAACATGAACATCTATTTCATCTCATGTGTTACATACCTACCAAGGAAGCATCTCACCATGCTGTTGACTCGCTGTGTCATGGATGACGTGGTTGAATACCCACTTCCCTTCCTTCCCCGCTTCCTCCTTAGCTTTGATATCGTTTTTGTGCCCAAGTAAGTGGACACGTTATGTTGGGGTGGGGTGACAAAAATTCTGTCTGTCTGTCTGTCTGTCTGTCTATCATCTGCAGCCTGCTGGCTTAATAGGCGTTGGGGTTTGAATTTTCTGGTGCGTTATTAATTTTTTCTGGAAAACAAATGCCTTTGCATATTCCAGGTACCTGTATGGTTTTTCTTTTCTGTGCTTTTTAATGCGTGGTTTGTTTGGTTTTTTTACCCTGACTGTAGTAGCTTTCTTCAGAAGGTGGACTGGAAACCTGCTCTTTGGCCACATCAGCTACATGCAAAATGCTTTCAATCAGTGTGATTCCACTGATATATTCAGAGGCTTGATTTTTTCACTGAAGCTCTTCTCACAAGTCGGACACTTAATGCTCTTCTCCTTGCTTGTCCCTTCAAGTGTTGGACTAGCTCAGTTCGAGCCTCAAATCCTTTCCTACGCTCCCTGCACATGAAGAACTTCATCCGTGCAGAACTTTTGGAGGGCTTAGTCCTAGATCTCAATGGGCAGGGACCTGTGGGTCTGGGAGCAAATTCACTGTCTTGCCTTTGCTTCTGATTGGGTTCTTCAGAAGCAGGAAGAGCCTCAGACCTGGTGAGTAACATTTGATGAAGATGTCAATACTTGTGGAATTGCCAGGCGAGATTTCCCTTCAGGATCAGCCATGTTTCTTCTTTGCATCACTCATGCTTCTTGTATCTATAGCCCAGCTACCCTGAATCCCCCTGTGGACATTTTCTTATGGATTTAATTCTATGTCTACATCCCAACCCAACTATTTTTTTTAATATGGAAAGTATAATTAACTTGGCTGGTCCAACTGTTGAATCTCTATTCAGAGTTTAATGTAGATTTCCTTTGCATCATAGATTTGCATAGTTTCATTTAGAGCTACCTATCTTGAGAAGATTGTTCCACTGCCCTTTGTATTTATGGTTGAACTATATAGAAATGTTTTTTTTTTTAATAAATGAGAAAGCACTCTGTAGCATTAAGTCATGAGATCTGATTGTTTTTAAATTTATGCTCAGGAGTGATCCTTGTTGACAGTAATTGATTTAACATCCTTCCTGCATGCCTGGAGGCCCTATTGTGCCAGCAGTATGGGATCCTGGCTGACATCCATTTCAAGCCACACAGCTGAGTTAGTTCATGCTTAACAGATCTCTCATCTTACTCAGGTTGGGTCTCCAGTGCTTGAATTCTTGAAAGAATTATTCAGTTTCATTGAAGAACTCCAACATAATTTGCTTCTATTTTTAATCTCATTGGCTTTTCTTCATCTGTCAATGACTATTGAGATGACATGATTTCCTTTACACAAAGCTATTAAATATGACATTGTACATACAAGAAAAGAAAATGAAAGTTGATGACATTCTGTGAAAAAAGAGGTAAGGAAGGGACCCAATCTTCTAGTTCTCATTGGACAGACAGATACAATTGGGAGCAGGTGGTCCTGAAGATACCCAGGTCCTGAGCCTTACAAGCCTTGAAATCTGATGAGCAGCATCTTGAACTGCACCCAGAAGCCAACTTGTAACCAGTGCAGCGCTCAAAGTAGTGGTGTTATATGAGCAAACAAATAGGTGCTCATAACTGCTTGAGCTGCTGCATTGCATTCTGAACCAAGTTGTCTCCAAGGGCAGCTCTTGCAGAGCGCATTGCAATAGTCCAAATGAGGGTGACTAAGTCACAAGTGACAGTGAGCAAGGCCTCCCACTCAAAGCCTGTAACTGGTACATCAGCTGTACCAAAGAGTTCTCCGAAGGCCCTCCTGGCCACAGATACCACCGGCTCTTTGAGCAGGAACTATGAGTCAAGCGGGGTCCCCAGATTGTTGCTAGTTCCGTATAGGGGATTGTAACCCCATGCAGACCTAAAGATGGACTCTCCCTGGAATTGGCTGGCCTCTGAACCCAAAGCCACTTTGCCTTGCTGGGATTAAGCCTAGACATATTCCTGCCATCCAGATCCTCACAGTCTTTGAGCACTGGGACAGCATCTCAACAGCATCAGCTGTCTGGCCTGAGATTGAAATATAACATTGAGTACCATCTGCACACTGATGATACCTGGCCCTATTCTGGGGGATAATGACCCAGCAGCTTCGTATTCATGTAAAATAGGGGCGGAGAGAATGTTGAGTCCATGACATCCCACCACTGAGGAACCTTGCATTTGATCTCCCTCCTCTGCCCCTCTTTCTTTGTGCATGGTAATGGCTGTGACCATTACATCCTCTTAAATTGTAAAATTTCTGGTGCTTAACCAAGCCTACTCCAGAGAGATCCCAGAGGCTCTGCATGGACCAGATATCCTGGGATCCTGTGTTACTGAGGGGTGATCCCCAGGGATCTACAGCTGTCTGCACCAGCTGAGTTAAACTCTCTTATCAGTCCTTATTCCTCTATTCCTTACGATCTACTCACCATCTCCTCTCTCTGTAATCAGCACCTTCTTTATACTGAAGGGATCTTCCTTGGCGTTTCTGCTTTCCTGTGAGTCGCTCCCTTTACTTTGTCCTTGCTACCGACTACATTAGAATTGTAAGGAAACATCCTCATGAAGTCAGATTAAGTTATCTTAATTGCTCCAGAGAGGTGCAGTGGGATGATGGACCCCTTTTCCTTGGAGGCATCATTGTTAGATGAGACCACAGCACTTGGAAAGAGATGCACCACAGTGGGTAGGCAGCAAGAAGACTGAGCCCAATCCCCCTAGCACGTGACAGCTCTTTTGGCATGCCATCCTTCCCTGCCATCTGCCAGTTACCATGCTTTTAACCAAGTATTCACACACACACACACCCCAGTTTTCTCTTCCAACTCCGACCCACTCTGTGTCAGTATGCCCTTCAGGAGAGCGGCAACTGGGCCATTGCAGTGCTTGTGTGTCATCCAGATGTTGTTTCCGCTCGAGGTGCCATTTAGAAAAAGGTGGGCTAGTGGAGAGGGCTGCCAGGAAATTTGTAGGCACCCAGTTCTTTTAGTGCGGCTAGAAAAGTGATGTGTGTATCTCCATTCAAGATTGGGACTTTGAGAGCTGTTGGAAAATCAAACAGGGAGACAGTAATGCCACCTTCTCCAGTCTGGTTCCCATGTCTGGGTGGTGAATTCTGGGAGTTGTAGTCTAACACACGTAGGGGACACCAAGTGGAAATCCGCTGGTGTGATGCTTGGGAGGTGAGGCGTGTCGCGTTGCATGGTTAGAAAAAGGAGGCAACTTCTAACTCACGCAGTCCAAGCAGTTGGCTGATATTTTTCCTTTTCAAGGTACCGCCAGGTGGGCAAGCAGGCCAAGAAGTATGAGCGGCTGGAGCCCATGACCAACCACAAGGAGGTGGTGATTGAAAAGAATGTGGCCAAGGTAGTGGAGTTCATTGGCAAGGATGTGAGCGTCCTTCCTGGCCGTGATTTCTACGAGCCATCCTTGCCACTCCTGAAGGAGATGCTGCCAGGGTTTGCAGTGGAGTACCAGCTCATTCCACAGCCCAGCCTCAAGCCCTCTTTGGAGAAGAAACTTGCTTCACCACCACCTTACCGTGGCCTCCCACGGATGGTGGAGCACATCCCCTTGCTCCAGACACTGCGTTTCCGGGAGGGGCACTCCTGGCCGATCGCTCCTGATGGCTATATCCCAAATTCAGTTATCCGGGCTCAGCTGTTTCCAACAGGGACTCCTCCGGATCTCCAGTGCCCCTTGCTGTCAAGCAGGGATCCCTTGCCAAAGAGGAAGATGATGAAGATCCAGATGTCAGAGTGGGATAAATCTGAGGGGGTTCAGAAAGCTTGGAAGAAAAAAGCCCAGAAGATGAAGAAAACTCCTTCGACAACCAAGCGCCACCGGGACCTGCTGGCAGAGATTGTGACCAAGCCCTGGTTGAGGCATAAGCCCAGCGACACCAGCTTGCCCTCCGTCATGAAGGCCATTTTAAACCTCATGGATGATGTGCCCTATTCAACATACTTGCTGTGTACCTCTGCTCTCGTCCAGCTTTCGGAGTCTTACACGTTGCCAGCCACCATACAGGAAGTGGCCTTTGAGCGCCTCATCCAGGACACAAGTCACAAGGAGGTCAGGGCAAGCATGACTGGGGCCACTTTGGGGGCACATCTGGGGGGTTTCTGGCTTTGGAGAATTCCTCCGCCTTCACTGTGCATGTCCTCCTTGGAATGGCAGAGAGGAGAGGTGGGGCACCCGCAGTTGGATGTTGACTGGGTGAGAGGAGAGGAGGAGAAGGTTCAGCACAACCCACGACACACCAAAATCAGAGATTTAAGGGGAGAAACGACAAGTCTTGGTTTGCCCAAGTCTTATCCTCCCAAAGAGCTAAACTGATTTGCTTTCACAGATTCATAACAGAAGTAAACGCTGGCATCAGGAAGATATTTCACATCCCAGGTTCCAGTGGCTCAAAAACAGCTTCAGCTGTAGTGAGGATGCCTCCAAATGGCCCCAACTCCTTGGGGAAGAAGTCAAATTGCAGCAGCTTGATTTCAGGGTGGGGGTGGGGTGGGGGTGTAACAGTGGAAATGGTCTTCGAGAGGTTTTCTGCCCCTATTTTCACCTTATTTGAGGAGGGGGGAATGCACTACCAAAGCTGGCACTTCAGCAGTGCACGCTCAGGGCCCTGGGGAGCTCCATGGGGCTCACAGGACCTCTGAGACCCCATTGAGGAGGGGGAGGAGGGGAAGGAGGAGAAGGAGGCGGCAGTTCTCCCTTTCCCTCCCAACCCAGGACGGACACACAGCCAGAGCCAAGAGACAGTAGCCAGGGCCCGCCTTTGGGGTACAAACCAAATGGAGGAGGCAGGAGCAGGAGCTGCCCGCCCCCCAGTGGGTAGGCAGCTGCTTCTTGTGAGCTGCAGGCCTGGCAGCTCTCTAGCAGGTCAGACGGGAAAATTCCGGGGTGTCAGCAATGTGGGTGTCCAACCTTTCCTTCTTGCCATTGTACTACGGTGTCCAGGGCTCAGGGAAGAGGAGGGAGGGAGGGTTTAAGCTCGGCGTCCCCTGGAGGCTTCCAGAGCCGCCCTGTGGGCATTTCAAGAGGCAGAAGCTCTCAGCTTGGAATGTTCTTCCTCCTCTCAACAACACCTGCCTAAGGTTTACCCAGCACTTTGGATTTTCAAAGGGCTGTGTTGACGTGAGATGCTTGCTGATGTAGTCAGCCCTGGCTTAAATAAGCCCCTCATTCTGGGTTTGCTAACTGCCCCCTAAACATGCAGGCTGAGTTCACCCACCTTGCTAAGTCAGTGTGCCGGGAGAACAAGCCAACGGTCCAGGCACCAGTACTGTGTTGCTGCGGCTGATTGAGATTTGGACGGGGCACGAATCCTTGCAGAGGATGGCCTGAACCAGGCCCAGGTCTGGCTCTGGCCATGCCGATTCAACAACAGGCTTCTTGTTCTCTAGGCGAGGATGAGACTGGCAGCCTGGGAGGCCTTGGGGAAGATGGACCTCTTGAGTGAACAAGAGGTGGTACCGCTGGCTCGGGCCCTGCTGGATGAGAACAAGAAAGTGCGCGACCTGGCTCGTTCCTTGCTCGACTCGGTGGCTGGCATCACTGACAAATTCGTCCTGAAAAAGGAAATGCAGCGGCTGGCGGAAACCAGCTTGGAAGACATGTGAGTCCCGTCCCTGCGTGGGG